GCCAACGAAACAACCGACGTGCCAGGCCGCGGGCGCGGGACAAAACAGCCCCCCCCCCCCCCCCCCCCCCCCCGCTTCTGTGAATCTCCAACTAAAGGCACCAAAGGCAACCTTCGACTCCCCCCAAGGCCAATACAAAAGAAGGGAGAGAATGTTGTTGAACTAAACTGAATTTGAATTGAAAGCCAACGCCCTTTTCAAAAATGTAAAAAATTTTGCTTGCTTAGAATATCTACCAGGCACTGAATGGGTGGGTCACTGGCGGTTCTCCAGGACCACCCAGTCTCTAACTACCATCCAGGTATCTTCCAGTTTCCAACTCAAGGTAAAGGAGAGACGCCTATTCTAAAAGACATCTTGCATGTTTTCTTCTTTTATTCTCTTTCTTTGACCATTCTCCCTTTACCACTTACCATGGACGAGTTAGCTGTCATAAGGGGTAGCTAGAGATGAATTCAGTGTCTTCATGTCCTATATGATACACCGAGGTAGAAAGTGTATAAACATAAACCCAGGGCCTCATGTCTCCTCAGCACTTGAGGGGTGGAGGTAGGAACACTTGTCTTCACCCTCCTGAGCTGGACTGCTGGGAATAGGGTGGATATGCCCATTCTGACCAAGGCCTGGTATTTTTTTTCACTCCCTCATGCACATCATATCAGCTCTGTGAACAGCTCTGTGAACATATCATGAGGAAATGAAGGCTCAAAGAGGTTAAGTAATTTGCTCAAGATTGCACATCTGGGAGGAACTGGGATTCGGATCCACATCTGACTTGGCCCGGGATTGTTCCATCATACCACATCTTTAGGGCCCTGTGTAGAGCACTGCCCAGGCCTCTAGAGATAGGCAGCTGTGCATGTGGGATGAGGGGCAGAGCCGTGCTCTCAGAGGACAAGCCTGTCACCTCTGATCCTTGATGCGGGGGAGAGGCTGTATGTGTGTATGTTTGTTGGTCCCGAAGGACAAAAACACAGGTGAGACGGGCTATTCTGCTCAGCAGGCACTGCTCCTAGCCACCTGCCCTAGTTCTCTCCACTTTGAGCATTTTTTTCCCCTCTGAAGTGACATTGGAGGAAAAAGGATCTTGCAGAGATGTTATGAATAATGACACTAGTGTTATGTGTTGCATAAGCTGCCTGATTGCATAGGGCCAGCAGGGACCTGGGTGGGACTGGGGAGGTGGGGGAAAGGTGCGGTGCAGGCATCTTCTTTTCTTTAGGGGGATGACACTTAGACCACCCTGCCTGTTAGGCAGATATGCAACAGGGCACTGGTTCTCATGCCCTTAGCAGAGAAGATGCTTTTGTTGAAGCACTTTTGTTCACTTTTTCTGGGTATCTGTTTAGAGGCTGGTTTCCTCCCCAGGTGGCTCTCTGAACGGAGGTGGGAAAGGAGATGAGTGAGAAGGGAATTTACAAGTATTGTCAGGTGCAGTGTGTCAGGCACAAGGCTCCCAGCTTCACCTGCACTTTCAGAACCAGAGAAGACAGGGCTTGCTACCTCTTGGCCCAGAAGACTGACTCGGATCCTCTGCATTGGTTTGCTAAGAGTACTGTGAGAAAAATGTTTTCTAACGTGGGACTTTTCTTGGAGGAAAACCTCTGAAGAGGAAAACCCATAATCTAGTTAAGTTGTCATTTCTTCTTTCCTTTTGCTTGCTCTAGGCCTTCATTCATTCCATCTGTCTTTTAGACATTAAGACTGTAATTAATCCCACTTTTTCTCTGTCTCCGGAGATTTAACTTTAGCTCATTTTAAGATGGCATATTACCAACCCCTTTTTCTTCATCTTTCCAAATGTTTGCAAACTGGTAGGACGATTTAAATGTGGGTAATCTGAAGAAATGTTGGCTTATTCTATCCAAACATGGATTTTTTTTTCCTAAGAGAGTACAGAGTGACTTTTTGGAGTTCAGAGGAAACTAAAGTTATTTTATTATTTTACACAGGAAGACAAAACCCTGAGAAAGAGCAGAAAATGATATAAGAATAACATCAGACTGGGGTGGAAGTTTCTCTACGTTTCCACGTTCTTAATTACACGAACACTCACCGCCCTTTTCCATAAAACCTTGTTAGGAATGCTGACATTGCTGCTGCTTTGACAAGGGTGAAAAGTCAATCCACTGCCATGAGTTTGACTTGCAGGATTATTACTGGAAGAAAATCTATACAAGTGTGCTTTTCGATGGCCACGGCAGACTTTTTAATTTCTTTGATAATTCCTTCACTCTTCTGTTTTGGTACAGCTGGGACTGACCTGCTTTGTTCCTTCATTACAGCGTTTTGCTTAGGTATTAATAACAGGAGAAGGAGGCTCTGATGCTCAAACTCGTCCCTGAAACTCAGCAAGACTTCTCAACTTCAAATCCCCAGACCAGCCTCATGGATTTTATTTATGTATTCATTTATTTATATGATTTCTGGTGCTGAGACACGGATGAAAAATTAAGACATAAATTCATCAGCAAGACCTAGAGGAGAGCAAGATTAAAATTTGAACCCCTGAACTTCCAGGCACCTCCTGCCACAGAAATAACAAGATCATCACTGAACTCCACAAACAAAGGGAGCTCTCTCTCCTCCCCCAACAGCTGGCGAAAAGGCAGGCCTGAGAATACACAGGCTCAAGACATCACTCAGAACATCCCAAACCAAAACAAAAGCAATGCACCAAACAGCCAAAAACAAACAGAGGTGGGATCAGATTCCAGCAAGCCCTGGTGAGTTGCCAAATTCGGTTTCTGGCTCTTTGCCCTGCGGGAATTATGTAATTTCCCAGGCAAGGGCCCTGGACTCAGAATTGCAGCCTCTCATCTGTGAGTTTTACTCCTAAGAGCTGGCAGCAAAAATAGGTGAGAATCTCACTTCCACTGATGCAGTGAGGCTGCTGATTTTTATTAGGTAATTTTGTTAGTGTAGTTGGGATGGTGTTGGAAGGAAATGCCGTGTTATGAGATAATAGAGTGAATTCCCTCTCCCCTAAAAGTAACTAAATTGCCCTCCATTTTATACTCTTAAGTAATCCATGCCCCAGTTCTCTGAGGCCAATCAATGTGAGTCTCCAAAGCAGAGAGAGCCTTGTTTATTTCCCCCTTCCACAGTGGGACAGCAAGCTCAGACTGAGGAATGGGGCTGACATGCTGGGGATTCACTAAAGAAAAGCAGGAGGCATAGGAGAGAGTTGAGGCTGGTATCAGAAGAATGAAACGACCGACCCCTGTGAACCAGATACCTTACAGATGTCCTCTCATTTCATACTCACAACAGCCTTATAAAAAAGTAAGTATTATTTTCATTTCATAAGGGAGGAGATTGAGTCTCAAAGAATAAAGCAGGGCTTCCCTGGTGGCGCAGTGGTTGAGAGTCCGCCTGCCGAAGCAGGGGACGCAGGTTCGTGCCCCGGTCTGGGAAGATCCCACATGCCGCGGAGCGGCTGGGCCCGTGGGCCATGGCCGCTGAGCCTGCGCGTCCGGAGCCTGTGCTCCGCAACGGGAGAGACCACAACAGTGAGAGGCCCGCGTACCGCAAAAAAAAAAAAGAATAAAGCAGCTTGCTTGAAATCACGCAGCTGGTTAGTAAGACCGGGGCTTATAAGACTTCAAAGTTTATTCCATATCCCAGGCCAAGAGCACTGCTCTGTCAAGTTCAAGGGATTTAGGTAAAGCATCCAGTGGCTTCATTGGTTCCATAGGACTTTGTGTGATTGAGCCACTAAAGGTCTTTATCGCTAGGGTCAAGGCCTCTGTATTCCGTAGTCTCTGTGCTGTCTCATGGCTACAAGTCATGTGTGGCCATTTAAATTAATTATAGTAAAACAAAATAAAATAATTTAGTTTCTGTGTCACACGAGCCACAAGTCAGTGCTCAGTAACCACATGTGGCTAGTGGCTGTCTTTCTGGACAACACAGGCTTCTAGAACATTCATTTTCAACTTAACAGAAAGTTTTGTTGGATAACAGTGGAGGTGGAACATTCTAGTTGTTAATGGGACCTCCCCCTTTCAGGCTGCACTTAGTTCTTCTGGACCTGAGAATCCAGCTCATCCTCCTTATCAAAGCAGAAATGTTCAGTCCCACTCTGGGTTTCTATTGGGAGGGATTTTCCCTAAGCACATTTACGACCTCTGTCTGCCTCTTTACTCAGTCTACTCTGGGGAGGTGGAGATGATTTACTGATTGGTTAACTTGGGAAGAATAATTGGGAATGAGTTACCTACTGAAAACAAGTTCTGCTGTTCCCCCAGGTCTCTGCCCCTGTGGTGGGCATGGTTTGGGGGTGCCCTGAATACCTTCTGTTTGCCTGTAAATCCACTCTCTACCCTTCTCCACCCTGCTCTGGGCTCCAGGAGGAGCAAAATAAATAAATAAAATAATAATAATATATATATATATGTATATATATATATATATATGGGCTTGTGGTCAGTAATCAATGGTTTATCTGATTGATCAAGGCCTGGAAAGAGAAATATTGGAGGATTAGGGACCAGAAGGTCTGGGGAAGAGGCACGTGGAAGCATCTATGGGCTCGAGCATGATGTGTGACAAACTTTGTATCAAATATTAGTGCTCAACATAGAGCATTTATTTACCATGGAAGAGGCACTAAACAACCAACTTGATGAAATGACTTAGCCAGTTGAAGTCAGTCCTTGGATACTCCGGTGACTGGCAAAATGGGCTTCATGACACGGCGTCCAGGATGGAAGCTATGCATGGACCCAACAGCATGGGCTCCCTCTCACCAAGGCTGGTTTGCCACTGCTGAAAGCCCAGCTTTCTAGGAGCAGAGAGGAACACTGAGCTGCTGGCTTGGCACCACCCGCTATGGGGACCAACCAGCCACCTGGAGGCAAGTGGTTACATCAGACCCCTCCCATCTTGGAATGGGCAGCCATTCGTCTTGACTGAATCAGCATGCACACCAGATACAAGACGGCCTGAGAGCACCTGCCAGCATGACAGTCAAAGGACTTACCGAGTGCTTGATTCCCTGCCTCAGGATCTCGTTGAAGTGAGGAGCCCAGTTATAGACCAGGATGTGTGGCAGTGAGCACGTGACCATGGAGTCCGCTGGCCTTATTACATACTGCATCATCCAGAAATGGTTGGCTGTGATGAAACATCTTCTTAACAGCCACCAAAGATCCAGCTTAGAGATGATAAGCTCTGAGGACTGGCACCATCCTCTAGGACACAGTATATACCCTACATCAACAACCATTACATGGGGCTGTGTTCCCAGTAGGTAGCAAGCATGAATCTCGGAACCTAGGAGTAGAAGTAGGTGCGGCTCTGCTTATATGACTCTCGGTGACCCATTTAGGGAATTCTTGCCTCCTGTTACTGTATTTCTAGACTTTTGAGGTTCAGTTCCCAGAGGGAGGACATTTCTATCAGGAAACTCAGTAGGGGCCTCATTAAGTTTTAAGCTTTATCTGCTGACTGACCCTTGTGCCAAAGTCTGCCAAACCCGGGAACTAGTCTCTGTCCTAGTAGGAGTAATTGACCCCAATGATTAGAAGATGTAGGGCTGCTGTTACAGCCTGGGGTGTCTCTTGGAATCCCCTTAGCCACTTTTAACAATAAATGGACAAAGGAGTAGCCATAGCCTGAGAAGGGCATAGTGACCAGGAGCTGAGATCATCTTACTGATGAAGGTCAGGGTGACCCCACCAGGTAAGCCACTTAGACCAACAGGGGTGCTGGCCAAGGGGGAGAGGAATCTAAAACGCGTAGCAGAGTGGAGAGATGATGTGTCTCAGTTACCTTGAAAGCAGCTGCAGCAACAAGGGCTGTAATTCATGTCACTAACCTTGTAAGTTTAACCAGGAAAACAGGCCAGCCAGAATCCTGGAGAAGGTGTTCTCAGATTTTACAAGTGAAGAAGGTGGACCCAGGTGGCCCAGTGAGTGCTATGGGGCTCTGCCCAGACCCCCCTTTAGGACGAGGAGACCGTTCTCCCAGCTTCTGAGCATGGCAGTGACTTGGCGACTTGCGCCTCTCAGATGAAGCCTCTCCAGGAGTTGGCTTCCACTAAAGAGAGCCACGGGCCACACTCCACTCCCAGGGGCAGCCCGCACCCAACGTGTGGTCAGTGTAAATGCCAGACTTCCTTGCATCAGGCAGGACATCTGGGCGGGTTCCTCCCAGGCTCTGGGTTAGATGAGGCTTTGGATGCCGCTTCTTCGCAGTTCAGTACCTCCCTGGGCCCAATTCCACTTCTTTGCTACAGGTGTAGCTCTTAAGTGAACGCCCAGTAAATCTCCTGCATGTTAATCTCTCTCAGAGCCTTTTTCCTGGGGCACCGACTTCAGACAGTGCTGTTCTTCACCTCAGAGTACTTTCCCTGCCTACACTTCTGACGGATTCTTCTTGAATTATTCCTCATTTCGATGTGCCCTCTGAACACTGCTGGGACCCTCACTGACCAGCACAGCAACATGGGGCAGGCCTGCTCCAGGCTCTGGGTCCCCAACAGGTGGGTAGGTCTGCCCAGTTCTGAGGTTCAGTATCTGTAGGACCCCCTACCCATGGATAGAATCTGTATCCTCAAACCTACAAACATCAGCTTGATAAAGATATTTTGGCCTCTCCATTAATTCTGTGTTTAAATTAGTCAGACCATGGGTGGGGAAATACTCATTTGTGGCTCCTTCAGAAACCCCGGCCCCGTAGAGTGCAACTTATACCAGATTTAGATGCAACAGCCAAGTGTTTGGCCTGTTCAAGGGTGCCTCTTTGACGTGTGTGTGTGTGTGTGTGTGTGTGTGTGTGTGTGTGTGTGTGTGTCAAGCTCGGCCTGCTTTCAGTAGGATGCCTATTTCTCCCCCTAAACGGGGCCCTGATGGGATAAGTAGGTTGATTGAATCTCTTTGATTCTCAAGGTTATTTAAGACATTGATGTGTTCTGTATCTAAAAATCTCTTTTTAAAATTTATTGTTTCATTACATAATTAATAAGTGAATTCATTCACTTTGTTTCAAAAATAAAGCATTACAGATAAGGCTAAAATTCCGTTTGGCTGTCACACCAATCCCCTCCCAGAAGACAAATTATTACCCTCCAGACCTTTTCCAAATTGGCAGTACCTATTTAAATTAAAGTTGTTCATTTTCTTTGACCTGGAAATTCTAGTTTTCAGAAGGTACACTTAAGAAAGCCTCTTGGATGCGCATGAGAAAGAATGACAAGGATATTTACGGCAGCACTGTTTATAATAGCCATAAAGGTAAGTAACTTAATAGGGGTCTAAATAAATTGTGGTATATTTTTACAATGATACTGGATGCAATAGTGAAGACAGGGAAGTGGCTCTGGAAAAGCTAACAGGAAAAAACCTTCAGGAGATACTGCGGCATGAAAAAGGAAGTTGCAGAGTGATAAACGTACTATGATTCTGTTTTATCAGGGCTATTCAAATAATTGCCTAACTGAAACGACCTGGGTTAGAGAAAGAGAAGGAGGAATCGGGGAAGTGACTAGTCCTCTCCCCTGCCCTGCCTCTCTTAGCCATTTCTTCCCATTTTCCTGTACCGTTTCTGCTTCCCTTTCACTCCATGTTCTTCCGTCTTTTTTTTTTTAACTTTTTATTGTGTATTGGAGTGTAGTTGATTAACAGCGTTGTGATAGTTTCAGGTGTACAGCAGAGTGATTCAGTTATACGTATACGTGTATCTATCCTTTTTCCAATTCTTTTTTCTCTCTCTCAGTCCCTGCTTTTCATGGGTTAACACTGGAGCCAGATCTACATCCTGTGAACTGTTTTTGTTTACTCTCTTTAACAACCGGTTGAACTCAGTTGATGAGCAACATGGCCAATCCAAACTGATAGTTAAAATGTCAAAATAAATGGTTGCATTGCCTGTGCCCCAGCTCAGGTGATGTAGTTGATGAATAATTCATTGAGCATCAATATGATCTGTTTGTGGAAACATGCCTGCTTTGGCTACTCTAAAAGCTTCAAAGATAAACCAACAATTTGACCAAGTCATAAAAAAAATGTATATATAAAAGAAACTTCAATTGTGGGTTGAATAATGAAAGTCTAGTGTTTGCATTAAACAAAGTGCAAGTAGCCGTTGTATTTTGTGTTACTAGAGCATGTAGATTATTTGAATTAAAGAATTCTAGTCTTGGCTTCCCTGGTGGTGCAGTGGTTGACAGTCCGCCTGCTGATGCAGGAGACACGGGTTCGTGCCCCGGTCTGGGAAGATCCCACATGCTGCGGGGCGGCTGGGCGCATGAGCCGTGGCCACTGAGCCTGCGCGTCCTGAGCCTGTGCTCTGCAACGGGAGAGGTCACAACAGTGAGAGGCCCGCGTACCGCAAAAAAAAAAAAAGAATTCTAGTCTAATGGCTTCCTTTTAGATTGGAGAGAATTGTGGCCCAAGAAAGTGAGGTTGCAAAGCAGCATTCCCGGTTCAGCTGTTTTCTGATGATACATTTTTTAGACAGTACAGATGTTCATTCTCCTGTACTCTGGGAATGGTCCTATCTCTCTCTGGTATGGGATGATCCAAATGTCTGTTCTTTTACTCATAGGTCTGTGATTGGGGCACAATCTTTATGGGATGGATGGAAATGGTTGACACAGTCCTGAATGGGGTAATGGGAGGAGGGACCAGCTCTGTGCCTCTCTGGAGTTCCCTGTTATGGTTTAAGGATGTTTCAACGCTAGAGGGTCTGGGAATAAAATCACATGAAAATGGCCACAGGAACTGGACATTTTTAGCTGGAAGAAGAAACCTAGGAGTAGGGTTACCAGATAAATATAGGGCATCAGTTAAATTTGAATTCAAGATGAACGATGAATACTTTTTAAGTATAATTATGCCCCAGATATTGCATGGGACAAACTTACACACAAAAAAAATTATTTGTTGCTTATCTGAAATTAAGTTCGATTGGGTCCCCTGTATTTTTGTATTTTGTATGTTTCTTTGTCTTGCTGACTCTGAAATTATAAATTATGACCAAATTCTCTTTTCTTCTATCGTCTGAAGCTTCTAGCTAACTTTATGATAGGACTGTCACTGCTCTCATAACGCGACCAGCCGTTTCCCCAACAGACACGCTGGCCTCTCTGACTCTTCAGGGATACTCCTCCCGCCCTTCAGGATGGTCCCCTGTGTATCCACAGTGGGAAGATGTCCAAGTCCCTCTTGAAGTTAAGAAAAGGTAAATGAGCAGCATGCATGGTAAGATCCCATTTGTGTAAATTTTCAAAAGCAGAAACATAAATATAGGTAAAAACTTTTTTCTGGTTAAATATCTAAGAAACTCTTAAGACTTTATTTTAGGATGGGATCAGTTATTGAAGGCTGGTGAGGAAGACTTAGTTTTTATTTTATACCCTTATGGATGGATATTTTAAAAATAACTGTTCACTTTGAAACAGTCTAGGTATTTACCTTTTAGGGGCACTGTGGTGGCATTCCCAGTGATGGGTTAGGATTTGTGATAGAAGGACGCCATCTCACGTTCCTTTCAGTTTAAAGATTGTATACACTTAAATAGTTTGAGGCCCCATCAGATAGTCTGGGTAACACCATTGATATGTTTGAGCATTCTCGATCTCCCCTGCCCACCTAAAAGCTCAGGTGAGAGGAAAGCATCTCCCAACGCAGCCGTGGCCAGTTGCACGTATGTTAGCCAGTGAGTGTGTGTGCACCACCTGAGGGTAAGGAATATGAGCCCAGGGTCCACGAATCCACATGCAGTTCTTGGCCTTACATTCAAGGCAGGTCTGGACAGTTCAACAACAAGGAAAACAAAACTTTTTTGTTCTCCTCTTCATAATAGCTCAATCTACATGAAATTCCTGTTGCATAGGCCAAAAAAAAAAAAAAAAAGATTGCCTGAATATCAGCAATTTCATATAGTTCAACTAATACTACTTTTGGGCATCACGTTTTACTGTCTCATTTGATCAATTAGAAAAACAAATCAAAGCAACTGAAGTATGTATATTTCCAGGCTTCCAAATCTGCCTTACCTTTTATTTACCTATTATTTGTGATACACATTAATAACAGCTAAAACTTACATAACATTTTGTATGTGCCAGGTGTTTTACATGCTTTGCATATAGATGCCCATGTAAACTTTCCAGTCAACCTATGAGATAATTCTGTTCGTCTCATTTTGCCAGTGAGGAACCTGAGGGGCGCAGAGTTTCAGCATCTTGCCTGTGTTGGTGCAGCTGTAGGGGATGCAGCAGAGGGCCCTGAGCCCAGGCAGCGTTGGCTTGTAACCATGACATCACACTGCCTCTCCTTTGTTCTGGCCCCGAGTTCCTGTTATGATAGGCCCATCCCTGCCCTCTTATAACCTGACCTGCTAACTCTTTCCTCGGCAGACGAGTTGATATGTCTGGATTCCACAGGGGTACACGTACCATACTTTAGGATGGCCCCCTTGAAGCAGTATAGGAGTTTAGCCAACTCTGGTGAGGCCAGGGTGTCCCCGCACCCAACAGTTTGGATTGGGGGCCCTCAGGCAGGCAGCCTGACCCTTCCTTGCTGCCAGTGCCAGTCTCGCTACGAGGAAACGGTCCTTGATAAGAATCATCAGCTTTCCCCTGAGCTGGTACTCCTGCAGGCCTGGTGGAGGTGCCTGATTTAACCATCCCCACAAACACGATCTCCACCCATTGTACACCGAGCTCGCCTTTGTGCCTCTGCTTCATTTCTCCTTTCCTACAACGGTGGTGCTGAGGCTGCAGTGAGGCAGAGTGGCTGGTGCGTCTCACAGACAGGAGAGGAGGACCCACCGCTTAGTGCCTATGGGCGTGTTAACTTTTCCGCAAGTCAGTTACTTCCCGTGTAGAATGAGCATGCTAACACTGATGTTTTAGGGGGTGGCTGTGTGCCTTAACTGGGTCCTGGACGTAAAGCCCAGTGTAACATGGGACATGCAGAAGATCATAGGAAGCAGCAGCACTGAGGCTAGATCACTTCTGTGTGAGGCTGGGCCTGTGACGTGGGCTAATGCAGCTTTCTCTGGCTTATAAAGTGTCCTTTTAGCACTGACCACCTCACTGAAAGGCGCTTTTGCATTTATTAATTACACCTTCTTATCTGTGAGGAAGTTTAGACCCACTCTTCCCTTCCATGAGGATGGCTTTGGACTATTTTTGGTGTCTCGGCCTGCACTCTTCCCTCCCCCCAGGGGAAAGAGGAGGGTGTGAAATTACCTGTTTGGCGAGTCTCCCCTTGCTTTCTTCTTTCTCCTGGGGCCTGTCAGCTCCCCTGAGCAGATGGCCTCTTCTGTTCCCAGCAGAGACAGCTCCCCATACCCACTGGTTCAGAATCTGGGCTGGGAAGGCAGGCTCTGTATCACAATCTTTGTTGAAATATTAGACCATGGGGTCCTTCTCAGAAATATATCCCAGAAGATCTATTACAATTTGATTTCTCCCTTGCTCTCAGACTGTACTTTGGCTTTGCCCCAAATTTCAAATGCTAATTAAACTCATGTGTTGCGTATATCTAGTATTCTAGAAGGCAATAGCTACCGTATTCACACGAACATTTGAGGCTTGCTATTTGAGATATTTGAATAAGTTGATACTAGAATATTATAGGCATTCATGCTGATTTTAAAACATGGGACGGTGTAATAGATTTTTCATTTATTTTTGTGACTGCGTTTTTTCTACACTCGATTTTGGAACGGAACGAACGCAATATTCATTTTAGTGTGATTGAACTTTGGGCTTACTGATGAAATGGAATCTGTTCCCTTAGAAGTGCCTCACAGTTTGCTTTTTAAAGTGAAGTAAAATAAACATATAGAAAAGTACATTGTGATGTAACCAGCACTCAGATGGAGAGAGAGCACATTACCAGCACCCCAAAACTCCCCATCACAGCCCCCACCTAGTAAACTACAGCCTTGACTTCTCGCATCATACATGAGTGTTGCTGCTTTTTGAACTTGATGTACATGCAGTCACACAGTATATGCCCTTGGTGGGATCTGGCTTCTTTGAGTTAGCACAACTCTGATTTCTTGATTCTGAAAATAATGCTGTGATGGTTTCTAAACCACTTCTTGGAAAGGAAAGGAGGGAGGCAGGGAGGAGAGAAGGGAGAGTGGGGAAGAGAGTGAGAGGTGTGTGTTGGGTACCATTTGTCTGTAGCTACTCTGAAAGGGATGCAGCCCATGAAGAACTTTGGGAGACTGTATACCAGCCATATTAACCAGTCTCTGGCTACCTTAGACCTTATTTATGTGAGAAAATAAATTGGATCTGAATGAAAATTTTGTTGAACT